CTACTATACACACTACACTACTATACACACTACACTACATACACACTACACTACTATACCACTACACTACACTCCTACACTATACACTACACTATACACTACACACTACACTACACACTACACTACACACTACACTACACTCCTAATCAGCGCGCACCGGCTGAGCTACGGCAGTGGAGCGACGCTCAGAGGCTCGACTCGTTCGGCCACTGCATCGTTCCCTCCGTTGGCTGTACTTCTACGCTCCCCGTCGAGACTCGGACGTGAGCGGCACGGACCGAGGCGTAGGTGGGTCGTGGGTCCGTCTCTGCGTGGCGAGGAGTCGTGGTGGTGGTGGTGGTGGCGTTTGTCCGGAGATTCGACTGAACACAAACGGCACGCGGGGACACATTCAGCACAACAACCACAACTACACTACCACAAATACACTACCGCAACTACACTACCACAACTACACTAACACAACTACACTAGCACAACTACACTAACACAACTACAAGCACATTTTTTTTGGTGTTTCATTCAGACGCTGTCTCCCCGACAGACCTGGTCTTCACTGAGGACGGCTGCTTGCGTTGTGGCCGAAACGTCGTGAGAATTGTATTTTATTATGTTTAATTTTTATTATTTTATTATTTCCCTTCTACGTGATGACTTTACCGAAGGAACCAAGAAGATACACAACCACAACTATGATACACAGCAACTACACAACCACAACACAACAACTACGACACACAACGACACAACAACCACAACTACACAACCACAACTACACTACCACAACTATGATACACAGCAACTACACAACCACGACACAACAACTAGAACATGCAACGACACACAACCACAACTACACTACCACAACTACGACACGCAATGCCACAACAACCATAGACCACACAGAGACCCACACACACTCATAGAGACTCAGACCCACAGACCCACACAGACCCACAGAGACCCACAGAGACCCACACAGAGACCCACACAGAGACCCACAGAGACCCACACAGAGACCCACAGAGACCCACACAAAGACCCACACAGAAACCAACACAGAAACCCACGCAGAGACCCACACAGAGACCCACACAGAGACCCACAGAGACCCACACAAAGACCCACACAGAAACCAACACAGAAACCCACGCAGAGACCCACACGAGACCCACACGCAGAGACCCACAGAGACCCACACAGAGACCCACACAGAGACCCACAAGACCCACAGAAACCCACGCAGAGACCCACACAGAGACCCACACGCAGAGACCCACAGAGACCCACACAGAGACCCACACAGAGACCCACACAGAGACCCACGCAGAGACCCACAGAGACCCACACAGAGACCCACACGCAGAGACCCACAGAGACCCACACATAGACCCACACAGAGACCCACAGAGACCCACACAGAAACCCGCAGAGACCCACAGAGACCCACACGCAGAGACCCACAGAGACCCACACAGAGACCACACAGAGACCCACACGCAGAGACCCACAGAGACCCACACAAAACCCACGCAGAGACCCACACAGAGACCCACACGCAGAGACCCACAGAGACCCACACAGAAACCCACGCAGAGACCACACAGAAACCCCACGCAGAGACCCACAGAGACCCACACAGAAACCCACGCAGAGACCCACACAGAAACCCACGCAGAACCCACACAGAGACCCACACGCAAGACCCACAGGACCCACACAGAAACCCACGCAGAGACCCACAGAGACCCACACAGAAACCCACGCAGAGACCCACACAGAACCCACGCAGAGACCCCACACAGACCCACACGCAGAGCCCACAGAAACCCACACAGAGACCCACACAGAGACCCACACGCAGAGACCCACAGAACCCACACAGAGACCCACGCAGAGACCCACACAGAGACCCACACAAGACCCACAGAGACCCACACAGAGACCCACGGTGTAAGAACTCACTCGCTGTGCCTGTCGCTGCTGCCGCTGGCTTGGGCTGTCCCTGTTCACCACCGCGTAGGTGTGGAGGCTCTTGAAGGGTCTCGTAGTCGCATGCTGGGGGAATTTAACACGAAGTGTTTTTACTTGAGCACGTTGAGCACCCCCTCCACCCGCTGACACCCCCCATGATCAGAGACCCACAGAGACCCACACTCATAGAGACCCAGACCCCACAGATCCACGTAGACCCACATTCATAAAGACCTAGACCCGCACAGACCCATAGAGACCCACAAAGAACCACACAGACCCATACAGAGCCACATAGACCCAGAGAGACCCACAAGCATAGAGACCCAGACAGACCCACACAGACTCACACAGACCCACTCATAGAGACCCAGACCCACACAGACCCACACAGAACCATAGAGACCCCAGAGACCCACACATACCCACAGAGACCCACACTCATAGAGACCCAGACAGACCCACACAGACCCATACAGACCCCCACTGAGACCCACATAGACCCACACTCAAGAGACCCACACAGACCCACAGAGACCCAGACCCACACAGAGACCCACACACACTCATAAAGATCCATTACCCACACAGACCCACACAGAGACCCACACAGAAACCACAGAGACCCACACACACTCATAGAGACCCAGACCCACACAGAGACCCACACAAGACCCACAGAGACCACACACACTCATAGATACCCAGACACATGCAGACCCACGCAGAGACCCACACTGAGACCCACACAGAGACCCACAGAGACCCACACAGAGACCCACACAGAGACCCACACAGAGACCCACACAGAGACCCACACAGAGACCCACACAGAGACCCACACAGAGACCCACACAGAGACCCACAGAGACCCACACAGAGACCCACACAGAGACCCACACAGAGACCCACACAGAGACCCACACAGAGACCCACAGAGACCCACACAGAGACCCACACAGAGACCCACAGAGACCACACAGAGACCCACACAGAGACCCACAGAGACCCACACAGAGACCCACACAGAGACCCACACAAAGACCCACACAGAGACCCCACAGAGACCCACGCAGAGACCCACAAAGACCCACACAAAGACCACACAGAGACCCACACGAGACCCACGCAGAGACCCACACGCAGAGACCCACACTGAGATCCACACAGAGACCCACACAGAGACCCACACAAAGACCCACACAGAGACCCACACGAGACCCACAGAGACCCACACAGAGACCCACACAAAGACCCACACAGACACCCACACAGAGACCCACACAGAGACCCACAGAGACCCACACAGAGACCCACACAAAGACCCACACAGACACCCACACAGAGACCCACACGAGACCCACAGAGACCCACACAGAGACCCACACAGAGACCCACACAGAGACCCACACAGAGACCCACAGAGACCCACAGAGACCCACAGAGACCCACAGACCCACACAGAGACCCACACAGAGACCCACAGAGACCCACACAGAGACCCACACGGAGACCCACACAGAGACCCACAGAGACCCACAGAGACCCACACAGAGACCCACACAGAGACCCACATAGACCCACAGAGACCCACACAGAGACCCACACGCAGAGACCCACACTGAGACCCACACAGAGACCCACAGAGACCCACGCAGAGACCCACACAGAGACCACGGTGTAAGAACTCACGCGCTGTGTCTGTCGCTGCTGCCGCTGGCTTCCGGCTGTCCTGTTCACCACCGCGTAGGTGAGAGGCTCTTGAACGGTCTCGTAGTCACAGGCTGGAGGGAATTTATCACGAAGTGTTTTTACTTTCAGGTGTGAGCACCCCCCCCCCCCGCTTACTATACATAGAGACCCGCATAGACACCCCCACCACGTAGACCCACATAGACCCATACTCACAGAGACCATACTCATAGGCACCCACAGAGACCCACAGAGACCCACAGAGACCCCCACTTAATAGAGACCCACAGATGAACCCACCTTCATAGAGACCCATAGACCAACAAAGACCCCCACTTATAGAGACCCACAGAGACCCACAGAGATCCAGAGAACCCACCATAGAGACCCACATAGACCCACAGAGACCCACAGAGACCCACAGAGACCCACAGAGAACCCACACTCATAGAGACCCACAGAGACCCACATAGACCCGCAGAGACCCACAGAGACCCACAGAGAACCACGAGAACCCTCGCATAGAGACCCACAGAGACCCACAGAGAACCACAGAGACCCATAGAGACCCACATAGACTCACATAGACCCGCAGAGACCCACAGAGACCCACAGAGAACCCACGCTCATAGAGATCCACAGAGACCCACAGAGAACCACAGAGACCCACAGAGACCCACAGAGAACCACAGAGAACCCACGCTCACAGAGACCCACATAGACTCACATAGACCCGCAGAGACCCACAGAGAACCCCGCTCACAGAGACCCACATAGACTCACATAGACCGCAGAGACCCACAGAGAACCCACGCTCACAGAGACCCACATAGACTCACATAGACCCGCAGAGACCCACAGAACCTACAGAGAACCCACGCTCATAGAGACCCACAGAGACCCACATAGACCCACAGAGACCCACAGAGACCCACAGAGACTCACATAGACCCACAGAGACCCGCAGAGACCCACAGAGAACCCACGCTCATAGAGCCCCACAGACCCAGAGACCCACAGAGAAACCAAAGAACCCACAGAGACCCACATAGACCCACAGAGACCCAGAGACCCACAGAGACTCACATAGACCCACAGAGACCCGCAAGACCCACAGAGAACCCACGCTCATGAGACCCACAGAGACCCACAGAGACCCACAGAGAACCAAAGAGACCCACAGAGACCCACAGAGACCCACAGAGACCCCCACGCTCATAGAGACCGTTCACGCTGTGCCAGGGGGCGGGTGGAAGAACTCACGCTCCTCCCCGCTGCTAATGTCAGCGTCCGACCATCCTTGATGGCCTCTGCCGAGATGGGCGCTCTCCCGCCCTGGTCATGGCACGAGGCGGTCCCCGGCAGGTCGCATTGCGCTGCGGAGAAAGAAATGAAGAGGCAATTAAAAGGTGAATAGTAATTGCGAAAAGCATTTGTTTTACTTGGCCTGGTTGTAAGGCCCCGTGGAGCTATGGATATATATAGAGAGACACATAGAGATCCACACTCATAGAGACCCACGAGACCCACACTCATAAAGACCCATACTCATAGACATGCGTACCCATAGAGATCCACATTCATAGAGACCACACCATAGACACCCGTACTCATAGAGATCCACACTCATAGACACCCGTACTCATAGAGATCACACTCATAGAGACCCACACTCATAGACACCCTTACCCATAGAGATCCACACTCATAGAGACCCATAGAGACCCATACTCATAGACACCCGTACTCATAGAGACCCACACCATAGAGACCCACAGAGACCCATACTCATAGACCCCATACTCATAGATACCACACTCATAGAGACCCACACAACCCATACTGATAGAGACCCACATAGACCCATACTAATATAGACCCATATAAGTCCATACTTAGAGACCCACAGATACCCATACTCAGAGAAACCCCATAGACCCATACTCATAGACACCCGTACTCATAGAGACACACACTCATAGAGGACCCACTGAGACCCATACTCAGAGACACCCACAGAGACCCAAACTCATAGAGACCCACAGAGCCCACACTCATAGAGACCCACAGAGACCCATACTCATAGAGACCCACAGAGACCCAGACTCATAGAGACCCACAGAGACCCAGACTCATAGAGACCCACAGAGACCCAGACTCATAGAGACCCAGACTCAGAGACACCCACAGACCCAGACTCATAGAGACCCACAGAGACCCACACTCATAGAGACCCAGACTCGAGACACCCACAGAGACCCTACTCATAGAGACCCAGACTCATAGAGACCCACAGAGACCCAGACTCATAGAGACCCACAGAGACCCTACTCATAGAGACCAGACTCACACCATCACCATCACCACTATCACCACTATCACCATCACCACCATCACCACCATCACCACCCATCACCACCATCACCACCATCACCATCACCCCCATCACCACCATCACCATAACCACCATCACCATCACCACCATCACCACATCACCATCACCACCATCATCACCATCACCACTATCACCACCATCACCACCATCACCACCATCACCACCATCATCACCACCATCACCACCACCATCACCACCATCACCACCACCACCATCACCACCATCACACCACCATCACCATCACCAACCACCATCACCATCACCACCATCACCACCATCACCATCACCACCATCATCACCATCACCACTATCACCACCATCACCACCATCACCACCATCACCACCATCACCACCATCACCACCATCACCACCATCACCACCCACCACCATCATCACCATCACCACTATCACCACCATCACCACCATCACCACCATCACCACCATCATCACCACCATCACCACCCCATCACCACCATCACCACCATCACCATCACCACCATCACCACCATCACCATCACCACCATCACCATCACCACCTCATCACCACCATCACCATCACCACCATCATCACCATCACCACTATCACCACCATCACCACCATCACCACCATCACCACCATCATCACCACCATCACCACCACCATCACCACCATCACCACCATCACCATCACCACCATCACCACCATCACCATCACCACCAACACCATCACCACCATCACCACCATCACCATCACCACCATCATCACCATCACCTCTCACCACATCACCACCATCACACCTCACCACCATCATCACCATCACCACTATCACCACCATCACCACCATCCCACCATCACCACCATCACCACCATCACCATCACCACTATCACCATCATCAACCATCATCACCATCATCACTCATCACCATCATCACCATCCACCATCACCACCACCATCACCACCATCACCACCATCACCACCATCACCACCATCACCATCACCACCATCACCACCATCACCCCATCACCACCACCACCATCATCATCATCACCACTATCACCACCATCACCACCATCATCACCATCACCACCATCACCACCATCACCACCATCACCACTATCACCACCATCACCACCATCACCATCACCACCATCACCACCATCACCACCATCACCATCACCACCATCACCACCATCACCACCATCACCACCATCACCACCATCATCACCACTATCACCACCATCACCACCATCATCACCATCACCACCATCACACCATCACCACCATCACCACTATCACCACCATCACCACCATCACCATCACCACCATCACCACCATCACCACCATCACCACCACCATCACCATCACCACCATCACCACCATCACCATCACCACCATCACCACCATCACCACCATCACCACCATCACCATCACCACCATCATCACCATCACCACCATCACCACCATCACCACCATCACCACCATCACCACCATCACCATCACCACCATCACCACCATCACCATCACCACTATCACCACTATCACCATCACCACCATCACCCCATCACCACCATCACCACCACAAGTTGACACACTCTACCAGTGGCTGATATCATCATCACCACCATCACCACGTGGGAATTTATAGCAGCAGACAAGTCCTCTGCACGAGTGTTGATGTTGATTCTAATTGGGGAGATGAAAAATCGGAGGACCTGGCGAAAAATACACGCGACCACCACAGGGAGAGAGAGAGAGACACGCAGACTCCAAATATACAGCAGACCTCCTGTATACCAGGCGAGGTAGTCAACATCTCCACGGAGAGAGATAAATACAGACTCCAAATATACAGCAGCAGTAGCAGGCTACGTCAGGGTCGGGATCGAACCCACGACCTCCTGTATACCAGACGAGGTAGTTAACTCCATTGAGAGAGAGAGACACGCAGACTCCAAATTACAGCAGACCTCCTGTATACCAGACGAGGTAGTCATCATCTCCACGGGGAGATAAACACAGACTCCAAATATACAGCAGCAGCAGCAGGCATCGTCAGGATCCAGGATGGAACCCACGACCTCCTGTATACCAGGCGAGGTAGTCACATCCCACGGGGAGAGAGAGACGCAGAATCCAAATATACAGCAGGAGACATCGTCAGGGCCCAGGATCGAATCCACGACCTCCTGTATACCAGGCGAGGTAGTCAACATGTCCACGGGAGAGAGACCAGACTCCAAATATACAGCAGCAGTAGCAGGCTACGTCAGGGTCGGGATCGAACCCACGACCTGCTGTATACCAGGCGAGGTAGTCAACATCTCCATTGGGAGAGGAGACACGCAGTCTCCAGATATATATGAGGTGTCATGGTCGCGATCGAACCCACGACCTCCTGCGTACCAGGCGAGGTATCAACATCTCTCAGGGTCTGGGATCGAACCCACGACCTCCTGCATACCAGGCGAGGTAGTCAACATCTCTCAGGGCTGGGATCGAACCCACGACCTCCTGCGTACCAGGCGAGGTAGTCAACATCTCTCCTAGACACCGTGGGTTCCTAAAACTGGAATGGTGGTGAAATTCGACGCGGTTTACTTACAAACGAGTTGGTTGATTTTTTCTGCACCGGGCCAAGCGTCCTCCGGGTCTTCGTAGTTGGCTTCATCATCAGCATCGCTGCCTTCATCATCATCATTGTGGTCGTCATCATCAACAAAATCATCATCATCATAATCGTCATCATCATCGTCGTCATCATCATAATCGTCATCATCATAATCGTCATCATCGTCATCGTCATCATCATCGTGGTCATCATCACCATCATCATCATCGTCGTCTTCGTCATCATCATCGTCATCATCATCGTCATCATCATAATCGTCATCATCATCGTCGTCATCATCATAATCGTCATCATCATAATCGTCATCATCGTCATCGTCATCATCATCATCGTCATCGTCATCATCATCGTGGTCATCATCACCATCATCATCATCGTCGTCGTCGTCATCATCATCGTCATCATCATTGTCATCATCATCATCATCGTCGTCAACACTCATCGTCATCATCATAATCGTCGTCGTCATCAATCGTCATTATCATCGTCATCATCATCGTCGTCATCATCGTCCATCGTCATCATCGTCATCATCATCGTCATCATCATCATCAGAATCGTCGCCATCATCATCGTCGTCATCATCATCGTCGTCATCATCCGTCATCATCATTATCGTCATCATCATCATCGGTCATCATCATCGTCATCATAATCGTCATCATCATCGTCATCATCATGATCGTCATCATTATCGTCGTCATCATCGTCATAATCGTCATCCTCACCCATCATCATCATCATCGTCATCATCATCGTCGTCATCATCGTCATAATCGTCAATCCTCATCATCATCGTCATCATCATCATCGTCGTCGTCATCATCGTCATCATCGTCATCATCATTGTTATCATCGTCATCATCATCATCGTCATCATCATCAATCGTCGTCATCATCATCGTCGTCATTGTCATCATCCACTCAGTAGAGCCGAGTTTGATTGATGTTGATTGGCTGGGCCTGCTGTCATCCACTCAGTGGGATAGATTATTTTTTCTGGGCAGGAGCCAGGAAAGTGTTATGATCACTGCCCGCGCACATCATCATCGGTCAGTCGTTAGTGTCCGCTCACAATCGAAAGGGTCAGCAATCGAAATCGTAAGCTGTGCTTCGTTTGAGCGATTCATCCGACCGTTGGTTTTCGATCAATTAATTTGTGAGTTTCAGTTCGCAAAACCGTGTTACTGAAACAGAGTGCATTGATACATCAGTGGTTTTTGGCATAGAGATGCGCGGAAAATCAAAACAAGTATAACCCGTAAAAACAAAGTTTTTCACTATAAATCCTTTATATGCGTGGCGGCTAGAGTCCTCTCGTCCTCTGGCTTGAGATGGCTGCCAACTATGGGTCAGATGATTGCTTGTGCCCCATTAAGCAATTGGTAATTACATATTATTTTTTGTTCCTAAAAAGTGTACAATTTTGGAAAAAATATTTTCACGAACATTAATTGTCACGCACAACGAGTCTGTGTGGAAAATGTCAGCTCGATTGGATCACGGGAAGTGGGTTAAAAAACGACCGAAAAGATTTGCACGGTCCGTAAGCAAGCAAGCAAGCACGCAAGCAGCAAGCGGACTTAATATAAAGGATTTAAAAATGCCTACATGTTCCAAAAAATTGCGACATTTTGGGATTATCCACGATTTTAAATTATCCACAGCCCTCCTGCCCGTCATAATCGAGAGCCTAACTGTCGTTTGGCTCTCACATGTACCTGGACGTCGCGTGGAATCGTTGTGCGTTTCTCTGTAATGAATTCAAAGGGTTTAAAAACAACAACAACAACCAACAGACCAGCAGGCTTTGCACGTATAGCGCATTCATCCTAAAGTTGCCAACGTGCGCTGTGGGTTTGTAACTCTCCAACACACACACACGATTTCGATTTAAAGCTTTCGTGACTGCAGGGATTCATCTATAGTATAGTTATTATATTATTTAATTATGTTAGTTTTTATTATTTTATTATTTCCATTCTACGTGACTTTACCGAAAGAACCAAGAAGACACACATACGAGTTAAAACCCGTCACCACACCGACACAGCCCACTAGTAAGGGTTGTCACGTAAACAGAACGTGGCCAATTCGTTACTAGTACAGCACTAGTGTATACTGTAGTAGTGTAGTGTAATAGTGTAGTGTATAGGTGTAGTGTATAGTGTAGTGTATAGTGTAGTGTTTAGTAGTATATGGTAGTGTAGTGTATAGTAGTTCGATAGTGTAGTGTATAGTAGTTGTATAGTGTAGTGTATAGTGTAGTGTATAGTAGTGTATAGTGTAGTGTATAGTATATGGTGTATAGTGTCGTGTATAGTAATGTATAGTGTAGTGTATAGTGTAGTGTATAGTAGTGTATAGTGTAGTGTATAGTGGTAGTGTATAGTAGTGTATAGTGTAGTGTATAGTAGTATGGTGTATAGTGTCGTGAGTATAGTGTATTGTAGTGTGTAGTGTATAGTAGTGTAGTGTATAGTGTAGTGTATAGTGTATGTATAGGTTAGTGTATAGTGTAGTGTATAGTGGAGTGTATAGTAGTGTATAGTGTAGTGTAAGTATAGTGTAGGTGTATTGTAGTGTATAGTATAGTAGTGTATAGTGTAGTGTATAGTAGTGTATAGTGTAGTATATAGTTGTAGTGATTTGTGTATTGTATGTGTATACTGTAGCAGTTGTAGTGTATAGTGATTGTATAGTAGTGTGTAGTGTAGTGTATAGTGTTATTAGTGTAGTGTATAGTTAGTGTATATGTGTATAGTGTAGTGCATAATAGTATGGTGTATAGTGTCGTGTGTATAGTGTATTTAGTGTATAGTGTAGTGTATAGTAGTGCATAGTGTAGTGTATTGTAGTGTAAGTATAGTGTAGTGTATAGTGTATTGTAGTGTATAGTAGTGTAGTGTATAATGTAGTGTATAGTGTATTGCAGTGAAGTGTATAGTGTGGTGTACTAGTACAGCACACCGGTGTGTTTGGAGAGCCAAGCCACACCATTTACATCTGAGTACCAGATTGTAAATTTTACAATCTGACTGTAAATATGTTTGGGTTTGGCTCTCCAACACACCCAGCGTGCTGTACTAGTATACTACACTACACACACCTACTATACACTACACTATACACTACACTACTATACACTACACTATACACTACACTATACACTACACTATTATACACTACCTACTATACACTACACTACTATACACTACACTATACACTACACTACTATACACTACACTACTACACACTACGCTATACATTACACTATTATACACTACACTATACACTACACTATTATACAACTACACTATACACGACTATACACTACACTACTATACCCTACACTATACACTACACTATACACTACTATACACTACACTATACACTACTATACACTACACTATACACCAGAGGTGTGGACTCGAGTCATGTGACTTGGACTCGAGTCAGACTCGAGTCATGAATTTGATGACTTCAGACTCGACTTGGACTTGCATAACAATGACTTTGTCCCACCTCTGCTATACACTACTATACACTGCACTATACACTACTATACACTACACTATACACTACTATACACTACACTATACACTACTATACACGACTATACACTAGTGCTGTACGATTGACGAATTGGCCACGTTCTGTCTACGTGACGACCCTTACTCGTTGGGCTGTGTCGGGTGGTGGCGGTTTAAACGACACATTAAAATATTTACGCGTCTAACCCCAAAAAAATCTCCAAAAGCTCATCTCCGGCGTTAATTTCTCTCTCTCTCGCCTTATGATGGCGACGACGACAAAAAAATACCGATTGACATGATGACATGATTTAAAAGCTTTTGTGACTGCAGGGATTCATCTTCTTGTTTCTTTCGGTAAAGTCACGTAGAAGGGAAGTATAAAATAATAAAAAATAAAACATAATTAAATAATTCTCACGACGTTTCGGCCACAACGCAAGCAGCCGTCCTCAGGTGAAGAATGAAACACCACCAAGCTTGGAGCGTATATTTAAGCTGGGTTTATTACTTCCCTTCTACGTGACTTTACCGAAAGAACCAAGAAGATGATGACATGACTCTGCTGCCTCTTTGCATGTCGCATATACGCTCTCTAATCCGCTAATCCTTGCTATTGATCAATATTTGTGCATTCAAGACGACATGTTGGTTACACTTTTGGTCAACAACAACAAAAAGCACGGTCACCATTTTCATCGTTTGTAGGCGACTCGAAGCAGGATAACGGGGACCTGCCATTATCCATTATCTATCTGTAGTGGTGTGAACTACTCGCTGTTCGCAAGCTGTGAGAGCAGATCGTAAACAAGGTTTCCCGCTCAATCAAACGGTCAGGGTCAAATGGGGCGAGGTAGGATCCAAACGCCAGATTGGGAAGGACCAATCAGAGGGTCCCACAAGGTGGCCGGGGATTGGACAACGCGGCCACGAACAGGTATAAAAGCCAGAGCGCTCAGAGCTCTTGGCCAGTTCTGCTACAACGAAGACCCAAGTCGACCGAAGACATCTAGGACCCTGGACCAAGCCCTCCAGCCCTTATCAGGGCTCAGAGTAAACCAGTGGTCGGGGAGAGATCCCCTAGGTTCCGGCCAGAGGACGCTGGGAGAGCAGGGAGATTAGACAGCCTGCAGGCTCCGGAGGCTTGGACCTTCCGAGGTAACGGGTGAGGGGACCATATACCCCTTAGTGTGATAGGGACTGGTGTTAAGATAATAAACGGTGTGCCATAAAAACACATCCAATAGAACCCGTCGCAAGTTGAAGAGACAACGGACCACCTTATCCTCGTAGCTTTGTGTTTCATCTCGAAGGCTGTGTGGGACGGGCGGCGGTGCAATGAACCAAAACAACGCAATTCATTTCGATTTAAATCGAGGCAGTCTCACTTTCCTCACACCCTCCATCCTCACTCTGCCCTCTCTTTACTCCCCATCAACCCCCTCCCTCCCTCCCTCCCCCTCCTTCTCCCCCTCCCCTTCCCCATCCCTCCCCTCCTGCCTGTCCCTTTCCCTTCCTCCCTCCCCCTTTCTCCTCCCACCCCCTGCCTCCCTCCTCCCTCCCTCCTCCCTCCCTCCCTCCCCCCCTCCTGCCTCCCCCCCTCCCCCCTTCCCATCCCTCCCCTCCCCCTTCCTCCCTCCCCCTTCTCCGCCTACCCACTGCCTCCCCCCCTCCTTTCTCCCTCCCCCTCCTTCCTCCCTCCCCCCTTCCCCCCCTCCCCCCTTCTCCTCCCAACCCCTGCCATCCCTCCCTCCTTCCTCCCTCTCCCCTCCTCCTCCATCCCCCTTCCCCCCTCCCCCCCTTCTCATCCCACCCCCTGCCTCCCCCCCCTCTCTCCTCCTTCATCCCTCCCCCTCCCTCTCCTCCCTCTCTCTCCCCCTTCCCCCCTCCTCCCTCCCCTCCTCCTCCCTCCTCCCTCCCTCCCCACCCCCTCCCCCTTCCTCCCTCCCCCCTTCTCCTCCCTCCCCCCTGCCCCCCTCCCTCCCTCCCCCCTTCCCCCCTCCCCCCCCTCCCCATCCCTCCCCCTTCCTCCCCCTTTTCCTCCCACCCCCTGCCTCCCTCCCCCTCCCTCCCTCCCCCTTCCCTCTCCTCCCTCCCCCTTCCCCCCTCCCTCCCTCCACCATTGTACGGCTACTCATGTAGATGCGGGGTAGTTAACGTCTCCTCGCCACCGTGGCGTCCTCAAAATGTGACAGAGCCATCATGGAATCAGGACCATTGCTTAGCCCGCAGGAGGTGCCTCAACTACACGTATCGTTGTTGTTAATCGTTAGCGCCGTCACCCGATACGTGCGAAAGAAATAACGCCGATCGGGAACGCATCCCCACAGACACAATGGTGTCACGCTGCCCTTTTAGCGCCGATTCGTTTAGCGCTGCTCGCTTCTCTTTAGTTTACGATCAGTGGAAACAAGAAGATGCTCGTTGTAGTCGGCACTTTGCTTCGTTCATTATTTCGTATTTTTTTTATCTTTGCTTTATGTAACCCCCCCTCTCGCTCTCGCTCACTCTCTCGCTCACTCTCTCGCTCACTCTCTCGCTCACTCTCCCGCTCACTCTCTCGCTCACTCTCCCGCTCACTCTCTCTCACTCGCTCTCTCGCTCGCTCACTCTCCCGCTCACTCTTTCGCTCACTCTCCCGCTCACTCTCCCGCTCACTCTCGCTCACTCTCCCGCTCGCTCTCCCGCTCGCTCTCCCGCTCGCTCTCCCGCTCGCTCTCTCTCCCGCTCGCTCTCCCGCTCACTCTCTCGCTCACTCTCCCGCTCACTCTCCCGCTCACTCTCTCGCTCACTCTCTCGCTCGCTCTCTCGCTCGCTCTCTCGGTCACTCTCTCGCTCACTCTCTCGCTCACTCTCTCGGTCACTCTCTCGCTCACTCTCTCGCTCACTCTCTCGCTCACTCTCCCGCTCACTCTCTCGCTCACTCTCTCGCTCACTCTCTCTCGCTCACTCTCTCGCTCACTCTCTCGCTCACTCTCTCGCTCAACTTTCCTGCTCACTCTCTCGCTCACTCTCGTTCTGCACGCAGCCCTTCTCGCAGCCTGCCCCGTCATGGTGCCATCAAGACCCAAAAGGCTTACCTCTGACGATGAAAACAATGACGAAGATGACGATGACGATGATCACGCCTATGGTCATGCCAGTGATTCCAACTGTAAAAAATTAACCCGTATAAAACAAAGTTTTTCACTATAAATCCTTTATATGCGTGGCATCGGTTTTATTTTATTATTCATTTCTGTTTTTCTTGAGTAAGAGTTTCATTTTTTATCACGTTGGTATTTTAAATTAAATATAAGGAAAGTCGTATATAAGGATTATAAAGTTTTCAGTTTTTGTATGATTGTTTATATTGTACATTTTTGTTGTTTTCTTGAATAATTTTCTGTGTTTAGGAAAAATATATGATTGTGTTAGTGAATTTTTTTTTTCCTAAAAAGTGGAAAATTTTAGATTTTTTTTTCACGAAAATAAATTGTCACACACAACGAGTCTGTGTGCAAAATGTCAACTCGATTGGATCACGGGAAGTGGGTTAAAAAACGACCGAAAGATTTGCACGGTGGTAAGCGCGCAAGCAAGCAAGCAAGCGAACTTAATATAAAGGATTTAAAAATATATTCGCCTGTGGAGGACGCGGGGATCGATCCCGCGACCTTTGGGCATGGGAAGCGAGGGCGCTACCAACTGCGCTACTCCGCCACGGCCTGTGGAGCTGTCACGCTCTGGGCTCCTACACTGTGACGTTCAGCCAAAGCCATGAATGAGTTCTATTTGAATAAATGTAAAATACAATTTTTTTGCCTAAAAAGTGTAAAATTTAGGAAATTTCACGAACATTAATTGTCTCGCACAACGAGTCTGTGTGGAAAATGTCAGCTCGATTGGATCACGGGAAGTGGGTTAAAAAACGATCGCAAGATTTACACGGTCGTAAGCAAGCAAGCAAGCGAACTTAATATAAAGGATTTAATAAAGGATTTAAAAACGAGGGAACGAGGAGGCTTGCCTGGTGACGCTTTCCAACGCGCAGCTTCTGCTAGGAAAAGTATTTCGCCAGCGATGGGGATGACCGCGCCCCGTTACGAATACGAATACTATGAAGTTTATACTTTAGTTTTTTACGTGGTTGTTTGGTTTCTGCAGCTGCATACTATTCACCAGAGGTGGGACAAAGTCATTGTTATGCAAGTCCAAGTCGAGTCTGAAGTCATCAAATTCATGACTCGAGTCTGACTCGAGTCCAAGTCACATGACTCGAGTCCACACCTCAGAGGTGGGACAAAGTCATTGTTATGCAAGTCCAAGTCGAGTCTGAAGTCATCAAATTCATGACTCGAGTCTGACTCGAGTCCAAGTCACATGACTCGAGTCCACACCTCAGAGGTGGGACAAAGTCATTGTTATGCAAGTCCAAGTCGAGTCTGAAGTCATCAAATTCATGACTCGAGTCTGACTCGAGTCCAAGTCACATGACTCGAGTCCACACCTCAGAGGTGGGACAAAGTCATTGTTATGCAAGTCCAAGTCGAGTCTGAAGTCATCAAATTGATGACTCGAGTCTGACTCGAGTCCAAGTCACATGACTCGAGTCCACACCTCTGCTATTCACATTCCTTCCCTTTGTTGGTGCTGCCTCTGCCTCTGCCCCCTCCCTTTGATGCTGCTAATCCTGCATGATGCACGGGCATAATATGACTTTGAAAACCCCCCGCCCACCTCCCACGCATTTCACAATTCGCACTATTCGCATTCCTGCATTTCCCATAAATATGCTAAATTCCTCTTCAAATGCAAATTCTTTTGTCAAGGCTCTCTTCCTCCTCCCTCACAGCTTAAATAGACACTCCACGCCTAAGACGTGTCATTTAGACTCTGTCTTATCGACAGACATGTTATAGTACGGTATATGCTCGTGTGATGTAAGAGAATAAAGTTTAGATGGAAGCATATTATATAATTTTTATGACGTAGAATTGTAATGTATTACTTGCTGTTAGTAACTCAGCTTATTGTAGAGTATAGTAAGTATACTGATGGTGCTATGCAGTTTATACTTTAGTTTTTTATGTAGTTTATACTTTAGTTTTCTACGTGGCTGTTGATTAACTGCAGCTACATATGATTAACATTCCTTTCCTTTGTTACTGCTAATCCCTGCACCCCCCTTTGGTGCTGTTGATCCTGCATAATGCATGGGCATAATATGACTTTGAAACCCCCCCACCCACCTCCTACGCATTTCCCATGAATATGCTAAATTCCTCTTCATATGCACATTATTTTTGTTAAGGCGCTCTTCCACCTCCAACGCAGCTTATATATAAGCTCCTAGCTTGGTAGTGTCTCATTCTTCACCTGAAGACGGCTGCTTGCGTTGCGGCCGAAACGTCGTGAGAATTATTTTATTATGTTTATTTTTATTATTTTATTACTTCCCTTCTACGTGGTGACTTTACCGAAAGAACCAAGAAGATGAATCCCTGCAGTCACGAAAGCTTTAAATCGAAATAAAAAAACTAAAACCACGGTGAGGCTCTCGCAATGTCGGCGCTGATGACGGGGGATTACCGCCGCGGACAATTTCGATAATCCAAAAGCGGGACCCATTTTTTTTATCCCCATGGGTCTCCGTGCCAAAGAGAACACACAAAAAAACTACCACCGATGTACGTATGCACTCCTGTTTAGGTCGCACGGTTTCCTTAATTGAAACTCACGGAATGAATGGTCGAAAACAAAAGGTCGGATGAATCACTCAAAACCAAGCACGGCTGACGATTTCGATTGCTTACTCTTTAGAGCACTAACGATCGACCGATGGATGATGCGCATGCTCGGTGTTAACACTGGTCAACACACTTTTTCTGGCACAAGGTATTCCAACGGTTTTAAGGTAATTTTGGGGTGCTGATTCCAAATCTGGAATCAGTTTTTGTCTATAACATCAGTTTTTTGAGATATCAAATATTGCATTTTCAATAAAAAACTGCAGAAGAAAAATATTAAATAAATGTGGATATCTACATAAAATGATATTATAGACACACTGTACAAAAAATACAGCGCCAAATTTTAACACTGAAGCAGTCACTGACTCGCAACAACTTGCAATCATAAGTGACGGAGTTAATTTCGGGTAAAATCAATGAAAATGGGGTATGCCGATAGCATAACAATGAGATGTGATAGAGCAAATCTGAGATCAGATTTGGAATCAGCACCCTGAAATTAGTCTAAAACAGCTGCAAAAATCCAGGCCAGAAAAAAATGTTTTTTTGTTGTTGACCAGTGTAATAACACTTTCCTGGCTCCTGCCCAGCAGAAGACTCGGGTCCACTGAGTGGATAATAGCAGAGCATTAGCCAATCAACATCAAACAAACTCCACCCCAATGAGTGGATGATAGCAGAGCCACAGACAATCAACATCAATCAAACTCCGCCCACTTGTAAAGATATGGCAACTACTGTACTGTAGAGGAGGCGATCGTGTGTATTTCGCATTAACCGGGGAAACTTATTTCTTCGGTTTAAACACGTGACTTGTAGTAAACATCATGGGACCTCCTTTGCCAGTAGCAAAATATACTAATAGGGGTTTCCCCCTTTTTTCTGGCAACAAAAACTGACACCTTTTGCAAGGAATCATGCTCACATTAACCACAATACTTGCAGTCAAATGAAAACAAAAAACAATACTCTGATAATTTATGCATTGTCTTTGAAACTGATTGGTCCACACCAGAGACAGCTTTCTTTAGAGCCTAGTCTCATATGGTGTTCGACCAGTTGACGCCTTTTGGCGGGGAAAAATCTATTAGTTGTAGTAAACATTTCTAAGAATAACAATGTATACCTGTATTTAGATGATTAATTTGGGCTTCAGGGAAATTCCATGGGCTATTAAGTTACGTCAAAATCTCAGGTGGGTGGTTCATCTGCAAATCGGATAAACCGCACGCGGATAATCAAGAGTCTACTGTGGCTGATGTTACCGGGTATCAGGCCCGGCTGAGTGATGTAGCTCTTGTTCAGAAACGACTCGGTCATCGCAAACGATAGCAGCTCAAAGCAAGTGGCTCATATCATCATCGTCGTGACGTGGAAATGGATAACAGCAGCCAAATACACTCTGGTTCTTTCGGTAAAGTCACGCAGGTAGAAATAAAATAGATCACGACGTTTCGATCGCAACACAAGTGACCCGTCATCAGGCGGAACCGATACAGCAGGACAACTGCTGATTTAGGAGAAAGATCTGCTAACAACGAGAGCTTATAAAGGGTTTTGGTGGGCTCAACCCCAGGAGTAAGTGGGTGGAGCTGGAGAAGGAAGAAAGGGGGGAGGCAAGGCAGAGGTCGCAATCGGGTACCCGATACCCGTACCCTACCCGATACCCGGCTACCCGTACCCGGCCGGGTACGGGTAGCCGGGTAGCCGTTTGCGACCCTTGTGCGGCCGGGTACGGGTACGGGTAGGCAGTGAGTCACTGGTGAGTAGCCGTTTGTCAATCATTTGGCAAGCTTCGGGGCCACTTCCCGGAGTCGTGGAGTTCTTCCATTACTAGTACGGTACATTTCATGACAGCGTGTTTAAAAACAAAGATTTTTTAAATATTACTCATTCAGAAACGACCCAGCCATCACAAATGAAAGCAGCTCAACTGAGCGGCTGATATCACGTGGTGCTAATGCGCTGGAGTCACTGTTTAATTGTTTTCATGGCTTTATTTTAGTGATTTCGAAAAGTGTATTGGTTTGGCCATGTTTTTTTGTTGTAGTACAGAGTTAGACTGATGGCCTTAATCTAAGTTGTCTTGTGGTTGTTGTTGTTGTTGTTTGACTTGCATCCCACTGGGATTTTTGCACACAGCGTTGGTGTACGGTGTTTTTTCTGCAATATTTTGCTGTCTTTTCTTGGATTTTCTGTTTGCACTCAGTCACATAGTCACTTTAAGATGTTTTTTGTTCATGTTTTTGTTTTTTGTTTGTTGCGGTTGCACCCGATTCAAGAGCCGAATGGCTCACAGGGCCATACCTAATACATGAACTTGAACTTGAGTCATGGTTCACCTTTTTGGCACCAATCTCTTTGGTCGTCGTCACTGTGGCTAGGAGATGTTAACTACCTCGCCTGGTATGCAGGCGGTCGTGGGGGGGGGGGGGGTCAATCACGACCCTGACGCCTACTGCGTCTCTCTCTCCCTCCCCGGGGTGGTCACTGCATATGATTTTTCTCCGGGTCCTCCAGTTTCCCCCCTCTCCACATTTAGAATGAACATCACTACGACTACAAAGCATTTGGCTGTTGCTATGAATGTCTACATGATGATGATATCAGCCACTTGGTTGGAGCTATCGTTTGTGATTGCCAGGTCGGTGTGAAAGAAGTTCAACATCCACCCCCCCCCATCTCAATAACGTAACGGGGTTGTGTTGTGGGGTTTGCGGAGTCTCACGAGGCTTCCATCCGTTCCCTTCCGGTGGTGGTGGTGGTGGGCGGTTGCCATCTGCAACACATCACAGCAAAAACGACAAATGGCACGTTCATATGAATCATCAAGCAATCACCATCCATACGAAGGTGAATTCATTCACGGAGCAAGCCCTCGTTTTCACACGCCAGTAGTAGGTTGTTGTGTTCAGATGTATCAAACACCAAATAGATATCAAACAGAAAGCTGTTTCATTGGCAGAAAGGGACTCTTATTTTTGATACTGGTAAAATATCGTAGATGTACTCTTTGGTTCTTTCGGTAAAGTCACGTAGGTAGAAAATAAAATAAAATACCAAAAATAAAATAAAAATGAAATTTAGTTTCTTCATTTTTTATTCTAAATTTTTATTTTCACCTACGTGAATTGAATTATACTCTTCGAACCAGGGTGGCCGGGCTCGCAGCGTAGCGCTAACCACTGCACCACTGTGCCCCATAAATACAAAGACAAAGATCCCCCGTATAGCCTTAACAGACTGTAGGGGCAAGTGCTGTTAGCGAGCACCTATGAAGGCCGGAACGGTACACGAGGGGGTGGGTGGCCAGCACCACGCCCGACCGCCTTTGTCTCTCCAGTGGTGATGTTTACACACCGCACCAGGTACCCCTTTAAGGCTGAGGCGACCTAGGGGAGGCCCAGGACCGGTTCAGATAATCGTCACTGGTGTTAGCCGTGAGCGGGAATCGAACCCGGGTCGCCAGGTTCATAGCGCAGTGCGCTAACCACTACACTACCGCTCCCCATAAATACACACACACAGACACACACACACATAGACAATAGACACACACACATATAGAGACACACACAGACATACACACACAGACACACACAAACATAGACATACAGACACACACAGAGACACACACAGACATACACATACACAGACACACACATAAACATAGACACACAGAGATACACACACACACATAGAAACACACAGAGACACACACAGACATACACAGACATACACATACACAGACACACACATAAACATAGACACCCAGAGATACACATACACACACATAGAAACACACAGAGACACACACACACACAGACACACACACACAGAGACACACACAGACATACACACACAGACACAAACATAGCCATAGACACAGAGAGATACACACACACACACATAGAAACACACAGAGACACACACAGACATACACATACACAGACACACACATAAACATAGACACCCAGAGATACACATACACACACATAGAAACACACAGAGACACACACACACACACACAGACACACACACACAGAGACACACACAGACATACACACACACAGACACACACATAGGCATAGACACACAGAGATACACACACACACACACACATAGAAACACACAGAGACACACACAGACATACACATACACAGACACACACATAAACATAGACACCCAGAGATACACATACACACACAGACGCACGCACAGACGCACGCCGGTATCTCACCGCTGACGTAGACGCACGTGGCGACCGTCGCTCTGCGTCCGGTCGCGACGTTGGTGGCCACGCACTCATAGCGCCCCTCGTGGCCAACTTGCAGGTTGTGGATGGTCAGCTCGCAAGCATCTGGCGGGGACGACGACGCCGGCAGTGGCAGCCTCCCACCGTTGAGGCTCCACGCGCAGACGGCCCCTGGTCCGGAGGCGGTGATGCACGCCAGGCTCAGGCTGCCGCCCTTCGTCGCGTTGTGGCAGCCGCTTGCGCCGGGCAGCGATCCGACCGAATGAAACGCGACGACGACCCTGCCGTTGCCGTTGTCGTCGCCGGCAGCGACGACGACGACAAAAGCCCCGTCGCCCGAGCGTCGCCCGAAGGCGAACAGTGACGAGGGCCTCTCGCCGGGCCTCGACAGGGCCCGGCGCACGGCGTCGTACGGTGAATGTTGACCGCCACCCGCGGGGAAGCCCAGGTAGGCGAGGCGCACCAGAGCTCCGTGGGCGTCGTCACTGTCGGACGTGGCTGGGCATGGCGGGGCGCGGGCAACGCGAGTGCTCGCGGAGGGTCCCGACGGCGCTAGTTGGGAGGCTCCCCGCGTCGCGCTGAACGTCCGACGGCCGTCGTCGCCGGAGAACGCCTGAAGGACGTCGCGGAATGCCGCGTGCACTTTGGCGGAGATCCAGCCATCGGTGTCGTTGTCCCTCTCCCCCAGGAATCTGCGCGTCAACTCGGAGGCCTCGGCGGCGAACGCCGGCTCCTCCTGCGCCTCCACGGGGAAGATTCCCGCGAGGGTTGGGGACTTGCCGGGCTGTCGCGGTCTGTCGCCGCCAGAACGAGGAGAGGAGACGGAGGCGGCCCTGAGGAGCGCACGCACCGCGTCGTAGACCCTGCGGGCAACCACCGCCATCTTCTCATCCGCCGGGACTATGTCGACGCTGCTATTGCTGCTGCTGCTGCTGTAGCTGCTGCTGCTATTGTTGCTACTGCTGTAGCTGCTGCGGATGCGAATGATGTGACTGTCGACGTCGAGAGACATCCAGTCGGCTGTCAGCTTCACCCTCTCTGGCTCGTCTGTGTGAAGTACGGGGGAGGGGAGGGGGGTGGGATTCTGATCAAACTGACTGATTGAACACCAACCAATTGACCGATAAAACAATTGACCGATCGACTGTATAGTGTAGTGTATAGTAGTGTATTGTATAGTGTAGTATATGGTAGTGTATACTGTAGTGTAGTGTATAGTGTAGTGTATAGTGTAGTGTATAGTAGTGTGGTGTATAGCCGTGTAGTGGATAGTAGTGTAGTGTAGAATATAGTGTAGTGTATCATGTAGTGTATAGTAGTGTATAGTGTAGTTTATAGTAGTGTAGTTTATAGTAGTGTAGTGTATAGTGTAGTTTATAGTAGTGTAGTGTATCGTGTAGTGTATAGTAGTGTAGTGTATATTGTAGTGTATAGTAGTGTAGTGTATAGTGTAGTTTATAGTAGTGTAGTGTATAGTGTAGTTTATAGTAGTGTAGTGTATCGTGTAGTGTATAGTAGTGTAGTGTATAGTGTAGTGTATAGTAGTGTAGTGTATAGTAGTGTAGTGTATAGTGTCGTTTATAGTAGTGTAGTGTATAGTGTAGTTTATAGTAGTGTAGTGTATAGTGGTGTAGTGTATAGTGTAGTGTAGTGTATAGTAGTGTAGTGTATAGTGTAGAATATAGTGTAGTCTATCTTGTAGTGTATAGTAGTGTAGTGTATAGTGTAGTTTATACCAGTGTAGTGTATATTGGTGCAGTGAAAAATGCACCGTACGAGCAGGGGGGACACCACTCACAGTGAACGTCGACTCTGACTTCTGCGCTGGGGCTGCGTCCGCACGCGTTGCTCACGACGCAGCCGTAGTGACCCACGGCCCCATTGTCGACAGAGTTCATCGCCAGCGAACGGTCGCCCCCCGCGTCCTCCCGCAAGGGGCAGCCGTCTCGGAACCAGCTCACGGTCACGTTGTCGCCGCTTCCGCTGCTTCCGTTGGGCACGCGACAGCTGAGGGTGACGTTGTCGCCCTCGACGATGCGGTTTGGGTGGACGTCGATAGACGGCATGGGCGGTGGCCCTGCAAGGGGAAGGAAATTAAATAAAATGGACAACGACCGTGCGTCGCACGCACTTTCATATGCATTGTATACTACTATACTACACTACACTACTACACACTACACTATACACCAGAGGTGTGGACTCGAGTCATGTGACTTGGACTCGAGTCATGAATTTGATGACTTCAGACTCGACTTGGACTTGCATAACAATGACTTTGTCCCACCTCTGCTATACACTACACACTACTTTACACACAACCCTATACTATTATACACTACACACTACTATACACAACACTACACACTACAATATATACTACTTTACACTACTATACACTATACTACTATACACTACACTTTAGACTACATTATACATTTTACATTACACTACTATACACTACACTATAGACTACTATACACTTTTCTATACACTACACTACTGTACAATACTATACACTACACTATGAACTACTGTACACTACACTATACACTTCACTATACATTTTACATTACACTGCTTACACTACACTACTATATACTACACTATACACTTTACTTTACACTACTATACTACGATACACTACACTATGCACTGATGTAGAGACAGTACGGGGCGATAGTGGGGCAGTATGGCTCCCCGGGACCATGGTTACCAATGGACGTGCTCCTGATGTTCTAGATTTGAAGTTTTCGTGACTGCAAGGATTCATACTCTTTGGTTTTTTCGGTAAAGTCACGTAGGTAGAAAATAAAACAACTAAATTAATTCACGAAAAAATAAAACAACTAAATTAAATCACGACGTTTCGGGCGCAACACAAGCATCCTTCTTCAGGTGGGGACGATGTAGCGAAAGCACAACCGCTTAAGTGTGTCGGTTGTGCTTTCGCTACATTGTCCCCACCTGAAGAAGGACGCTTGTGTTGCGCCCGAAACGTCGTGATTTAATTTAGTTGTTTTAGTTTTTACCTACGTGACTTTACCGAAAAAACTAAAGAGTATGTGCTCCTGATGATTGATGAGACAAACGTTGACAGGGTCACGTGACGGAGGAGCACGTGATCCAATCGCGGGGGGAAGTGTAATTAGGGCGGCCAGCGACAGAGCCCGGTGCGGCGAGGAGGAGTCGGGGAATAGGGGCGTGGCCGGACCGGGCGAGGCTTAACGGCCGGAGCTGGTGGCTGTCGGTTTGGGGATTCGTCGGGTCGTCTCCGTCGTCCGCGAGTTGTCTTGAGACCGGAAGGGACGTTGTCTCCGAAGAGAGTCGTCCAACTACCCGAGTGCGCAGAGTCACTCCGCGCTTGCACGTTGGGTCGTCACTGGACTTTGTTTATGATAACTACAGTAAAACCTTGGATTGTGAGTAACTTGATCTGCGAGCGTTTTGCAAGACGAGCAAATTTTTTAAATAAATATTAATTTGATAAACGAGCGAGGTCTTGCAATACGAGTAGTATGTGTATACGCTTTGTCTGCCGAGCGTCACGTGATCACAACTGATATACGAGTGATTTGGATTATAAACACGTTTTCGGAACGAATTATGCTCGCAAACCAAGGTTTTACTGTATACAGAAGACAAGACGGTGTCTCTGAGAGCTACATTACGACTATACACTACACTACTATACACTAACGGTTGGTGCCAAGTTCAACATACATACATATGTATGTGTAACAGCACTTGCCCTCAATAGCCTGTTAGAGGCTACATGGCGGGGGGGGGGGTCCTTTGTCTTTGTGGACATGTAACCAGCGTCGTGATGGCTAGGAGATGTTAACTACCTCGCCTGGTATGCAGGAGGTCGTGGGTTCCATTCCGACTCTGACGATGCCTGCTGTATATTTGGAGTTTGCATCTCTCTCTCCCCGTGGAGATGTTAACTACCTCGCCTGGTCTACAAGAGGTCGTGGGTTCGATCCCGACCCTGACCATGCCTACTGCTGTATATTTGGAGTTTGCATCTCTCTCTCCCCGTGGAGATGTTAACTACCTCGCCTGGTCTACAAGAGGTCGTGGGTTCGATCCCGACCCTGACCCTGTCTGCTGCTGCATATGTGGAATCTTAATTTTGGAGCTTTCGTGACTGCAGGAATTATTCTTTGGTTCTTTCGGTTAAGTCACGTCTAAAGATAAAATAATAAATTAAAATAATAGCATATTACGACGTTTCGATTGCAACACAAGCAATCATCATCAGGCATAAAAGAAATAGCAACAAAAATCTAACTAGAAAACTATAGACAAACATACATAGTTTTCTAGTTAGATTTTTGTTGCTATTTCTTTTATGCCTGATGATGATTGCTTGTGTTGCAATCGAAACGTCGTAATATGCTATTATTTTAATTTATTATTTTATCTTTAGACGTGACTTAACCGAAAGAACCAAAGAAGAATGCATATGTGGAGTCTGCGCCTCTCTCTCCCGTGGTGGTCGTGTGGTTTTTTTCTCCGGTTCCTCCGGATTTTTCACTCCACATTTAGAATGAACATCACCACGCGTTTAGAGTTTTTGAATGCTATGTATTCCCACACAATGATTATGATATCAGCCACTAGGTTGAGCTGATATGATTGGGTCGCTTGTCTGAAAGAGAGGCTACACAGCTGCTTGGTGGTGGGGCCTCTTTACACCTGGCACAATAAAAAAAAGATTTAATCAATAAACCGACGTGAACGTACCTGTGATGTGCAAATCATACGTCTGGCACTTCTTAAAAGTGTGACTGTGTTTATATTTCAATACGTAAACTCCCCGGTCTCCGTCGCCCACCCCTTTGAGCAGCAGAGACATGTCCGCGGTGAGCTTCACTCGCCCCTTGTAGTTCGGGGTGGGTTCTTGAGGCAACGAATCAGACGCTTGGAACAGATCGTATATTATTTTTTCTTCTCCATTTCGCATCACGATCCAGCTCAACTTGGCTCCATCCGGAATGGTGCACTTCCGTGGGAGGGTGACGGACGCTCCGAGGCAACTAGGGACGGATTCGAGAGCACCCACGGGACCTGTGGAACGAAAGGGGGGAAAAAATTACACGGCACGCATTTGTACGTTACACTATACACTACACTATATACACTACACTACTATACACTACACTATACACTACACTACTATACACTACACTATACACTACACTACTATACACTACACGATACACTGTACACTAAACTAGTATACACTACAATATATACTGATATACACTAAACTACTATACACTGATATACATTACACTACACACTACTATACACTATACTAAACACTATACACTACAGTACTATACACTATACTATACGCGACATTACTATACACTACACTACTGTACACTGCTGTACACTACACTATACACTACACTAATATACATTGTTGTACATTACACTGTACACTACACTATACACAACTACACACTACACTATACACTACACGATACACTACACTATACGCTACACTACTATACACTACACTAACATAGATTGTTATACATTACACTGTACACTACACTATGCACTGCACAACTATAAAATGCTATAAACCCGCCACCACCATCCGACACATCATTGGGTAATTTTGCCCGAAGATGCTGGTCATTACCAGAGAAATATCACGTCTACTCGAATTTGTAAATGTTGTGGATTTTACTCTCCAACACACAGCAGCCGGTTAGTGTTCTTGGTTGTTTCGGGAAAGTCACGTAGACAGAAAAGAAAAATCTAAATTAAAAGCAAAAAACCCCACCGTGGGGTTTTTTGCTTTTTTGTTTTCTATCTACGGGACTTTACCGAAAGAACCAAGAATATGAATTCCTGCAGTCACAAAAGTTTTTAAAGTAAAATTTAGCCGGTTAGTGCTGAACAAGTAAACTTATTGCCACGTTTTGTTAACGTGACAGACCCCTGACGGATTGGCTGTGTGTCGGGTGGTGGTGGGGTTAACGACACTTCTATATACTTACGCGATATAACCCGTAAAAAAAACTTTTATTATTAACAATACTTGTCGTAAAAGCCTTACTATACACTACACTACTACCCTATACATTACACTATACACTACACTATACACTACTATACACTACACTACATATTATAAACTACACTATTGTAACTACATTACTATACACTGCGATACACTACACTACTATACACTACACTACTATATACACGACACTACTATATACACTATAATACGATACACTACACACTATATACACTACTATACACTACACTATAAACATAACACTGCACTACACACTACTACTATAAACTACACTACTATACACGACACTATACACTACACTACTATACGCTGATACACTCTATACACTACTATACGCTGCTAGTGGGCCGGTGGTTGCCTCAACCACAGGCTGATGTGATGCGCCTAGTGTAAGTGTAGTAGTTTAAGGGGGGTAATTGTACACACGTGCGGGTTGGGAACAGTGGGATCGAATGGGGACATGCTGCTGTTGCTGGGGGCCAACGAGTGAGTCGGAGACGGCCCGTTAGGCAATTAGGGGGCAGGGCAGTGATTGGCCGGTTGTTGTTGTTGAGTACAAGGTGGCGCCTCCAAGTCTGGGAATAGAGACAGGTGGCAGCGTGGGCCTGGGGCGCAGGGCGTTAGGGGGGACACCAACTAATTAATTGGGAATTCATGAGGAGGGGGATAAATAAGGCAGCGTCAGAGAAAAACCGGGAGTTGTGCTGGGAGCTGGACGCAGTCGGTCGGGGCAGAAGAGAATAAGCATAGAGTAGCAGCGGAGAAGAAGAAATGTAGAGTAGCAGCGGAGAAAAAGAAGTGTAGGGTAGCAGTGGAGTAGAAGAAGAAGCATAGAGTAGCAGTGGAGAGGAAGAAGATGTGTAGGGTAGCAGTGGAGTGGAAGAAGATGTGTAGGGTAGCAGTAGAGACGGAGAGTGAGACGGAGAAGCCGAACGAGAGCGACAGTCGGAGTGAGACGGAGAAGCCGAGAAAGAGCGACGGCTAGAGTGGGACGAGGAAGCA